AGTTCTGCAATATAAAGGGATATATTTTAAATTGCATAACAATTTCCTGTAAGGTGCATACATATATATATTTGATTAAAGGTAGTTAAATGTATTTAAAAATATTTACTTAAGTTTATGTTAAACTTCTAACTAATAAATATCAAGTTTGAATGTTAGGGTGAAAGGGTTGGGGTTTGAGAAGGAGAAGACTGCATGTTTTATTATGCAGTTTATCATCTAATGTACTAAAAGAAAAACTAATAGACATTAAATTGTTGTTAAAGGGAGATGAATCTTCTCAAACCAGGGAGGTCATTTGCAGAGGTTGTTAAAGGGAATCATGGGTTGGCAGTTAACAAAGGAAGTCATCTACAGCAAGCTTCATGTGCTAGAGAGTGCCAAAATAAGCAACAGAAGACTAACTTGCCCAAATCACAAACGCACGTATGGATCATGAAAAATAATGTACATGTAAGTGCTGGCCTGGAGTTTACTGTGAAAGAGGAGGACCTCCGATGGCTGGAAGGGTGTTATGTTGGAAGTGCACATTCGGTTAACATTATCCCGACTCTGCAGCAAAAGTTCTTCATGGAAGGATATTTTTCGTGTAAAGTAAGACCTATGGGAGGACGTTTGGTCTTATTTGAAGGGGGCGACAAAGATGAGATTAAGGACTTAGTTGAAACAACCCCGGAATGGTTGGGGCAGTGGTTTCAGGAGGTAAAACCCTGGTCACCATCAGCTGTTGCTAAAGAAAGGTTCGTGTGGATTCGATGCCAAGGCGTTCTGATTCATGCATGGGGGCATGAGTTCTTCTCATCAATTGGGGCTGTTTGGGGAAAGGTTATTTCCTTAGATGATAGCACCATTAAGAAGAACAGATTTGACATCGGGAGATTTCTAATCTCCACGCCCATTATGGAGTTCATCTCTAAATCCATGAACATCACAGTAAATGGTATGCCATATACAGTCAAAGTAATGGAGGAAGAGGCAACCAACGGCATCTTTTCCATGAAGTCTGATCATGTGTTCAGAGAATTAAGTGCTTCAGACGATCATAGCTCGGAATCATGGTCCCTCAATAGCGATGGTGAGGATGTCTTTGCTGATTTTGTTCATGGCGGAGGATGCTCTAGGGATTATGGGAGAAGTGTAGTTGGTAGGGCTGATGAAGATGACATGGCTAAGGCTGATGACGTGGGACTTGACCATGGAAGAAGGCAAGAAGAGAGTTGGATGGAGAGCTACAACGTGGAGACAACGGCTAGAAGAAAGAAATTTGAATTTGAAGATGATATTGACAGAAGGATGAGTGCTGATGGTTCTAATATACAGGCTAATGAGTATGTTGAGTCAAGTATTGGGAAATCTCAAAAGTTTCCTATCAGCAAGCTAGAAGAGACGGCTGAGGAAGGCGGCTATGTGCCTGAAAGTCTGAGCATGCATTTAATGCAGAATCAGGGACAGAATTCAAATTGTGAAAATGGTATTTTGTTTGGGCCAAATTATCCGAACCAGTCCAAAGAGGATAAGCGGGTTAAGGGCTGCGAGCTAGATCCTCAAGCAGGTTTGAGAGATGATGAGGATTGGGCCTCCTTTATGGGGCCCAATAAAGGCAATAAATCATATCAAGCTGAGGATGATGTGGAGATAAGAGTAATGGAGAAAGACAAACTCGAGGAGGATGAGGTGAATCGTAGAAGCAGGGATAGCTTGATACCCGAGGATGATGAGGTGAATAGGAGAAGTAGGGGTAGCTTGATTCCCGAGGAAGATGAGGCGAAGCGGACAAGCAGGGGTAGCCTTGTGCATGGGGAGGATGAGGCAATTCGGAGATATGGGGTTAGCTTAATAAATGAGGAGGATGAGGTGAATCGGAGAAGCAGGGGGAGCCTAAGACCCGAGGAGGATGAGGCGAATCGGACAAGTAGAGGCAGCTTGATGCATGCGGAAGGTGACGCGAATCAGAGTTTCTGGGGTAGCGCGATGAGCGAGAAGGATGAGGGGAATCAGAGAAGCAAGGGCAGCTTGGTGTCTGAGGAGGATGAGGTGGACGACGTGAATCTGAGAAGCAAGGGAAGCTTGAGCTGGTTAGAAGATCTCAGTGCAGAAAATTCCTTTTGGCAGGGATTTGAAAGTGAATCGGGGCAATTAAAAGCTTGGATGGGTAGAAAAGAGAGGAAACTCAAGAAACAGAAGAAGAAGAGAACAAGGACATGTTCTTCTGTGTATAAAAATTCCAGAAAAGTGGTTCAGCCAAGGACAGAGAAGATGCAAAGTAGACCGAAAAATCACCGAGATCTGGAGGAGAAGATGTCGTTGTTCTGTCTAGGCTCACAAAATCAGGTAGCGGGTGACTCAATAGCAAATAGTGGCATTGAAAACAGAAACAAGTGCTTGCGGATGGAGGGTAAAATCAGCAAGGAAATGCAGATCTGGGGGTTTGCCAGAGAAATTGGGGTTGTGGATCGTGGAAATGAGGGTGAAATTCTGCAAAGGCTCGAGACCATGGAGGTACGTGACAGAGAAAATTATAGAAGATCAAAGGCTAGTGATGCCGATTCTGGGGGAATCAATTGTGGTGTTTAAAATGATCTTTTTGTCAATTAATATAAGAGGTGTGGGTGGTCAAGGGAAGAGAAAAGGCATTAGAGAATTAGTGGTTCGGGAAAAGGTGGAGTTCTTATCAATACAAGAATCAAAAACAGTGGTGGATCATCAACTCTGTAGAGCTCTTTGGGGATCGGAGGACTTTGAATGGGTTGCTCAACCCTCAAAAGGTACGACTGGAGGCTTGATATGTGTTTGGAATTCTGAATTATTGAAGAAAGATAGGATTATTGAAGGGGAAAATTTTATTGGGGTTTTGGATTTTGGGGGGCAGCTAGGACCCCTGTTTATATCATTAACATTTATTCCCCTTGTGACCTTCCTAGTAAAAGAGCATTATGGGCTTCTCTCAAAAACCTTATTACTGAAATTGGTGGGAACTGGTGTCTAATGGGGGATTTCAATGCAGTAAGAAATGAACAGGAAAGGAAGGGTGGGATGAGTATAAAGAGAGAAATGCCAGAGTTTGACGATTTCATTAATGAATGTGGCCTGGTTGATTTACCATTAATTGGCAGAAAATTCAC